TTTTTTTTTTTTCTTGTTAAAGGGTTTGTGTTGGTTTGTGCAGGTAGCTGTGTGGCCGAAGGACCAGACTTGTTTGATTTGTGAACTTTTGAAAAGCACCAGTTTTAAGGACCGGCCGTGTGAATCAGGCACTGGTCAAAGGAACACTGTGAAGCAGCTGTAGGAATCTGCTTTCTCTCTCTCTCTGCACTCTGTCCGTCCTCTGAGGTCAGATCACAGGGATACCAGTGGAGGGTTACCTACAACACAGATAGAAACAGAGACAGAGAGGATGGAAAAAAGCTGAAATCTCTAGAGATATTGACCCATGTGAAGGTTTGGGATCAGCTGAACTGATTTGCTCTGGAGCAGTGAAGCAACTTTAAGGCAAGCTGGATCTAGTTAGCTTTTTCTGACAAACACTGTGACAATAAACCTTCAGAGAACAAAGCGCTTGACAAATTCCTCTGAGCTTTAAAGTAAACCCTAGTTATGATACTGCTACCGCCGTGCTTTAGTGTAAAGAGGATGTCGGCTCCTTCAGGGTAACCTTCATCCTCCACTCCACTGCTCCAGTGGGCTAATTTGTTTAGTCCTCTTATACACGGCTTTTTGTTACATTTTCTAGTTCTCTTAGCGCCAATTTATTCGGGCTCTAAGGGACATTTGGAGGCTCAGGTGCTATTTTATATTTTTATATTTTATATTTTTACATTTTGCACAGATTTATAAACTCTACCATGAAGTGCCACACATCTTTAACCCTCTAAATGTGTTTTAGCCAAATCAACATGACGCCATGTTTATTACTTGGATCTTGACTGACTTCATGTTTGAGTCTAACCTGATGTTTAAAGGGTTCCTGTTCGACTTAAAGTTGTTTTAACTGCCTGTTTCTTTGTGATTTTATTGTTTTGTAATTACAGCTTAGACAATCTTAGTGTCTTTCTGTGTGTTGATGGGAAACCAGTGTTTTTGAATAAATTGACAAAATCTGAAAATCTGCTGTCCCGAGGTTGAAGTTTAAAGTTTTTGGTCATCTGATTGATGTAGATAAAACTCTTTTTTTATGTTGTTTTAAACAGTTCTGCACCTGATATTAGACCACGATGCACAGCCTCATGCAAGCACGGAGGGGGAAGAGTGATGACTTGGGTTTGCAGGATCAGTTTATTGCACAGTTTAGGGGCTACAACCTCAATTCCTTCCAGAATAATAAAATAAATAAGGTCAGCTATTTTATTATTATTTCTTATTTGAAAACAAACCAAAAAAAAACAAAAACAAAAACAGGAGGATTCTTGATTCCCCTCATTCTTTCACTGTGGAATAGAGGTTTAAGGTTGAATATATTACCACAAAGAAACTATAACTCTGCTTTGAGACTTATCCTACTGAACAACTTGGTCACATAGCAACAACTAACGCCTTAATAAAATGATGAACTACTAATAATATCTGCTGAGTTTCTCATATTAGTGGGTCGTCATTAAATCTCTAAAACAGTGGCGTCCAGATTCAGTCGTTAGGGCTGCTGTCTGCTACGATGAATGAAAAAAACAGCAACACTTTCATCACTTTACTTGGATTTAGTTTTACATATGCATATATATATATATACAGAAGAGCTATATGTGTATATATTTTATCTTTTTTATTTTATCTTCATTATCTTGTGTAGTTGGATGTGTGTGTGTATATATATATATATATATATATATATATATATATGTGTGTGTGTGTGTGTGTGTGTATATATATATATATATATATATAAAACTAACGGGAGCGTGTAACAAAAGTAATTTCCCTCTGGAATTATTAAAGTATTTCTGATTCTGAACCAAAAGGAACTAGCAGTTTCCTGGAAATGGAGTGAAAGTTATAAGTACCGCCCCAAAAAGTCTTCACCTAGAATAAAGATACTTTTAAAAAGTACTTAACTACAGTACTTTGTAACTTTTCACCACTGAACAAAAGTATTTTAAAAAAGAACAACAGTGTCAAATAATTTTGAGAAACATATAATCTATTTGTTTTCTTATTTTTATTCTTTCAAGCAAGAAATTCTTATATTAAACCATTATAAAATAATAGCCAAATCTGTTCTTCTTGTTTTGGGCCCCCCCTCAGACAAGGGCCCTTAGAATATTACTAACGGCCCCCCCCTGCGTCCATCATTGCTTCAGCTTTAAATCCATCGGATGAGCGACCCGGCTGCACTTGCAGCGTCTGTCCAGCAGATGTCAGCAGAGCACCGGTCCTGTCGCCCCATCAGGCTGTTTGTTTCAATCGGAACTCTTCCAGGTTCTGTGTCTTTAAAGCCCGGATCTCTTCTGCTGTGGTTCGGTTGCCGGTGGCCAGATCAGTGCTGGGAACCAGGACCCGGAGCCTCCGCTCTGTGTGTGCGGCTGATCCGTGTAACGGGTGACCTATGTGGGGGAGGCTTTTGTTTTCAACCCGTCTACAGGATCACTTTCACCGGAGGATGTCAGGAAGAGCCGCGGCTGTGCTGCTGCACGGATAGCGGAGACACGCCTCACAGGAGCCCGGTGAGATGGAGCTTTTATTCATCATTGGAAATGGCTTTTATTAGGAGATTATAGAACGAATATACTAATGGAAATAAGCATCATCATCATCAAGCGCGAGACTGGTGCACTGTCTCCCATCACCCCCCCTCACTGAGGCTGCGCGTTTGTTTGTTTACATCAGAGAATTAGAGGCTGTTTCGGTTCTGAAGGTCTGCATCTAAAACCGGTTCCGGATGTTTTCAGATGGAGACAGCAGAGCCTGAGATCATCAGAACTGTTTAAGGCCTAAACAAACCCAGAATGAAAACAATTATAAATAATATTCATGAAATCCTAAAACCGGATGGATTT